AGCAAAAAATATGGATCAAGGTATGATAGAAACAATGCAACAACAAACAGGGATAGAAGTGTTGAAAAAAGTTAAATACCTGGGAATTTGGTTAACCCCCAAGAGTATTGATTTGTTTCAGAATAATTATGTGCCAGTGTGGAAGGGAATAAAGAAAGATCTAGAGGTGTGGGGCCGAATGAAGTTATCCTTTCGGGGGAGAATTTCAACGATTAAGATGAGTGTGCTGCCAAAGATGTTATTCTTATTTCAGACAATTCCAATAATTAAGGGGACAGCGATATTTAAAGAGTGGCAAAGAGCAATTTCAAGATATATCTGGCAGGGTAAGAAGCCAAGAATTATGTATAAGTTATTAACGGATGCGAAAGAAAGAGGCGGCTTCGCCCTGCCAGACTTGAAATTATATTATGAAGCTTCATGTCTCTGCTGGTTGAAAGAATGGATAAAGTTAAAAAATACTGAGTTATTGGACTTAGAAGGTTTTGATAACAGATTTGGCTGGCATGCATATCTATGGTGTGAGAAAAGAAAGATTCATAAAGGTTTCGAAAACCACATCTTTAGAAGATCTCTCATAGAAATATGGGAGAGATATAGAAGTTTATTAGAATCAAGAACTCCCCACTGGCCATCTCCGTTAGAAGTTATGAGTCTTAAGAAAGTCAATATGAGGGGGAACTGGATAACATATAAAGAATTGATTATAAAGGAAGGAGGAAAATGGAAAATGAAATCCTATGAAGAAGTGAAAGAGTATGTGTATGATTGGTTGCATTATTATCAGGTTAACGAAATGTTTAAAAAGGACTTAAAAGAAAGAGGTTATGAGGTAAAAGAATCAAAATGTCAAATAGAAATAATAAACAATGAAAATAAAATTTTGTCCAAGATGTATAAAATCGTGCTAGAATGGTATACAAAAGATGAGGAAGTTAAATCGGTTATGATACACTGGGCCAGAGATTTGGGTTATAATATACAGTTTAATGATTGGATAAAACTGTGGAATGAAAATATAAAATTTACGGCATGTACTGCGTTAAAGGAAAATGTTATGAAAATGATTTATAGATGGTACATCACACCAGTGGAACTGGCAAAAATGTATAAAACATGTAATAAGTGTTGGAAATGTAAAGAAAAAGAAGGAACATTTTATCATATGTGGTGGGATTGTAAGAAGGTGAAGGGCTTCTGGGAAATGATATATAATGAGATGAAAAAGATGTTGAAATATACGTTTGTTAAGAAACCAAAGGCTTTTCTTCTAGGAATAGTAGGAAATGAAATAAATAAAATGGACTGTAAACTTTTCCAATATGCAGTAACAGCAGCAAGAATATTATTGGCCCAAAAATGGAAACAGGAACAACTGCCGATGCTCGAAGAATGGAGAATGAAACTGATGGAGTATGCTGAACTGGACAAACGAACAGGAAAGATCAGATATACACGAGATCAAAAGTTCATTGAAGACTGGGGAAAATTTTCAGACTATCTGAAATGTGTATGTGATGAGCAAATAATGCTAGTGGGATTTCAAGAAGTTCTGTAAATGATAGAGGACTATTGTATTGATGAAAACTAAGTGTGTGAAGGTTTATAAAATGCAATATAAAATTAGGAAATGCGTATTTAAAAATTTGAATAATGGATGATTGTCAGAGAGGTTGAAGGAAGTCTAAAAGAGAAAATATGTGATAAATTTAGATTGGATACTATAAATGTATGTTGGAAAATTTAATAAAAAAATTTAAAAAAAGAAAAAATGTGAAATGCCTCAAGTAGACTGTAATATGAATTGGCATGTTTGACTTATATTTAGTCAAAGTTGTTTGTGTTTTTGTATTTTTAAAAAACACAAAAATGATGCCACATTAATTTTACATGCTGTGTCTCAAATATTTCTTCCATTGGCCCCAAGTATTTGAAGTGAAATATTAGATTGGGATATTAGATTGCTTTCCCACATTCACCCACATTCTAAACAAAAATGTGGTTTAAATGCTGGGTGTGTTGTTGTTTTTTAAAAAAGCTTTTCTTCAAAATTATTTGCATGGAAATACTTGTAAATATTTAAAAGCATGACAACTTGACAGCACACATCTTGCTACATTGTTTAAATGTTAAGTGGGGAAATTGAAAGAACTGAAAACTGTTAAACTAATTTTAGAATACCAGAAGAAAGCATAATGTAGATTTGTGTGTCTGTGTGTCTATGCCCAGCCTGGAGCTGATGTAGCTTGCTTTCCTTCAAAGTCAAAGGAGACGGGAACTTTAAAAGAAAACAGCACAGGAAAAGAAAAAGGGGAAACGCTGCTCACCCTTTTCACCCTGTTGGTAAGAGCCCCTGAAAAGGCATCTTGTTCTCCCTCCCATCAGCTCTTTCGGACTCCTCTGCTTGATAACCTCATCCATTTTGGCATCCTGAGCACAAACCAGCACCGTGGGCTAAGAAAATATTGTGAAGCTCTGTCTTTCCATGGGAGGTTTTCTCTCTTTCTAAACACATATTGGTTCTATAACATTAATTAAGGAGATTACAAACGTGGTACACTGCCAGTCAAGCTGGGCAGTTTCAAATCTGTGTTAACTGTTTTTTTCAAGTGATCGTCCCTAAGAAACATGCTAATGTTGAAGCAGTACACAAATGCCTTAAATAAACAATAAAGTACACATGTACAGCATGCGAGTTGTGTAACACATTGGCACTCGCTGCCTATTGAGATTAGGCAGGCATGTTTGCTGTACTCGTTTTGATGCCTGCTATGTAGAAATGTAAGAAGCTGTTAGCTGTTAGCTGATAGCTGTTTTAACCTCATTCTTAGTTTATTGTTGATTTTTTAAAAATATGTTTAAAATAGTTGTTTTTAAATGTTCTCCTGATCACTTCATTGGTTTGTTCTTTCTGTAAACCACTTTGAGTGTTTTTTTCTGTTTTTGTTTTGTTTAACAATCAAGTGGTATACAAATTGTGTGCGTGTGCGTGCATGCATGCAGAAAACTAGCTTAATGAACAAAGGTGAACTTTACCTTCATTGTTCCACCCACATGCTCAATTTAATGTAGATTTTAATTATTCCCATTTTAAACTTTGTATTTTAACCTCTCCACCCTCAGACCCAAAGAAACTAATACCCCATGGAATGCCCTCCCATGAACCATTGGATTCAGCCCTAGAAATCTTCCGGCTGAAGAAAGAAGTCAGAATGATTTAGAAGGCCACTTTTTAGGATGACTCCTTAAAGCTCACTGGGATAAGAGGATGAGGTTAGGAACAGAGGTGGAAACCAGAGGCAGAGAAAGGGTGGCCCAACCTCAGTATTTGTTCGTCGAAGCCCCTGCTTCATGGTAAATTAGAGAGATGCAAGGAAATTGTCTTCATTTTATTATGCAACTCGTTTTCATTGTTAAAGACCTCGTTCATTTCATGTTTGATTTGCAAAAGTCACATTTGTTTCACCAGTCATTTGCCTGAAGGTAAATGTATTTTGACACACACATTTTCTTTATTCCATTTCCTGTTCACTTAGATATTTTCATCTTATTTATTTTATTGCCACTCCCTGCGGTGGTGGCAAAGCACCAGGCATTTGATTGCCCCATAATTCCCTTCAACAGGTACAGTGGAGCTGGTGGCTGACTAAGGCAAAATTCACACCAAAGATTTAAACCACTGTGATACCACATTATATAGCCATGACTTCCCCCAAAGACTTCTGGGAGATTGCTAGGGAACACACCCCACACCCTGCATAGTCACCTCTCAGAGCTGCCATTTCCAGAATAGTTTAACAATCAATCCCTTTTCACAGGGAAATATGGGAACTGCAGCTCTGGGAGGAAAACAGGGGTCTCTTAACAAATCTCAGCACCCTTAAAAAACTGCCCTTAACTCTGCATAGATCTTGTGGCCAATAGCCATTGATAAATGTCCCACCATGAATTTATCTAATAACATTTTAAAGCCTTTGACACAGTATACCATTTCTCAATAGAAGCACAGAACTGTAGTGTTGGGAGAGAACACAAGGGTCATCTGTGCTCATGATCTCCTGCAATGTGTGAATCGTTTGGGCAATGTGGGGCTCAAGCTTTACCAGCTGAGCTATCCCTGCTGATCTTCAAGCCAAGCAAATTCTCAAAGTCAGTCCCCCTCTGGAAAACGGTATTGTATTCAGCTAAGCTCTACTCAGAATAGAACTAGCACTGAAAGTAATGAAACTAAGTTATCCATGTCCCTTAGCTTCAGTGGGTCTACTCTGAGTAGGACTAGCACTGACTGCCACCCATAGATCACATTTTATCAGCACAGGCAGTTGTCCTAAGTGAGAGCACAGGGCATTGGTGGCCAAAGTTGGCTACCAATCAAGATCCTTCACCTCCACAACCAAGACTTCAACACTTCATATCCAAGTTTAATTGTGCTTTAATGAGAAGAAAGAACAAAGGGGGGTACTTGCATAATTACAAAGCATGAAGAGTTCGGGTGGCAGTAAGATGCAAAAAGCCTTGCTGACAGTTTTCCCTAAGCATAAACATATTGCCACCATTAAAATAAATTCAGTGGACACTCATACATGAAACATCACACAACCAAGCAGGAAGCCACTTACACAAAGTCACACCACTGGTCCACCTGTCTCAGTATGGTCTCTACAAGGATGGCTGGCAGCTCTCCAGGGTTTTTGGCAGGCCTACTGCCAGGCCTACCTGGAGATGCTCAAAATTGAATCCAAGACCTTCTGCATGCAAAGCAGGTGCTCTAATCACTGAACTATGGCTCTAAGTCTATAATCTAAGGGGCTGAGAACATCTGTTTGTCATGCAGATTGTCCCAAATTCAACCCCTGAATCAACTGAATTCAACTTGGTTGAATACAGGAACAAAGGAAACTCCTTATGCAGAGTCCGACCATCTAGCTCAGTATTGTTTGCACTGACTGGCAGCATCTCTACAGGATTTCAGGCAGGGCATTTCTCCCAGCCTTACCAGGAGATGCCACTGTGGATTGAGCCTAGGACCTTCTGCATGCAAAGCAGAAGCTTTGTTACTGAGCTATGCCCCTCACCGGAAGGAACAGTATTACCCCTTTTTGTGTAATCCAAACCTGTTTTCCGTTTGTTCGTTTGTTTTGACATCCCTGGAAGCAAAGCATAGGCTGCAGAAATTCTCCAGTTTTTACAGCTGCAAACCAAGCCGGATTAGGGACTGAGACACGAAGCTAAATTCACATCCCTTTCCATGCCTACTTGGTTTCCACAGAAAAGAGAGAAGGGTGTGTAACAGGTTACCCCCTTCTTCTAAGAGCATGCAGGAGAGGCTAACTTCCATTTTAATCAAGATGCCTGGCTAGGAATTCAGCTTGGGTTTGCAAAGAGTCATGTCTGAGGCATTTATTGATTTTTTTATTAAAGTGTTCCACCAGTGCCCTTAAGAACAAACTCTTTCATTATGTCTTACAATGAAGACACAGAAACACAACTAAAATACTAATGGTGAAAATATTTAAAGATCAGCAGTAAACAAAAACATCACTCCACTCCCCCCCCCCCCATCACCAAAATAGGACCAAACCCAACTCTGATTGGAGACCAACAATAAAGCCCATTCTAAGGGAAGGACAGTGGAAAGACATAGTGATGGGTGGACAGAGAAATTCTGCTTCAGTTGCACTTTAGTAGGAACCTCTTCAATTCATACATTCCAAAAGAATATGTGAATATGCAAAACACAACCATTCTTCAAAATTTGCACTTCCTTGAATTTTGTGGTGCAGTTCCCCAACCACATAGCATGCACAAAAATATTCATGTTCAGGGAAAGTGTTCATAAAGAAACATATATTAGTTAAAATTATATACAGAGTTGCATTGTTTTAGGGGGAGTTGCTTGCAAAACTGAGTACATTAGGAGAAACAGCATACCCAAATGTGTATGACAGGAGGAATTCATACTAAAACGCAGACAAATTTTCATGAGGACTTAAATAACAACAACAACAACAACAACAAACTAACTGATGCAGAAATATGAGGAACTGAACTTATCAGGAGAACCAAGAAACTGAGAGAAACTGAGAAGCTCATCTATCTGCAGAAAGAGATAAGCTCTTTTCAAAAGGCCTGCAGTGTTGTGATCTTGAGAAGTCCAAGGAGCAATGGAGTCCAAAGCTGCAGAGTTGCCATAGGGCTGCTCCTGAACTGCATCTCACATCATTCCCAACAGAACTGTGGTCAAACAACGTTGAAGAACACTGATTTACAGAGGAACAGCAGCAGACAACAGTGGTGTGAGGAGGGGTACTGGCTTCCCGTTTGTTGGGGATTGGGGCTTACAGTTAAGGGTAAGATACAAATTATGAGTTTAATCTGAAACTACATAATTTCCACTTCTCAAACCAATATGCAAACCGGAATACAGCTGTTCTTTGAAATATGCACTTCTCTGAATTTTGCAATGCAGCTCTCCAGCCAATGTGTACAGAAATGCAAATATTGGTGGAAAGTGTGCATTAAGGTGCATGCATCCATGAAAATAATGTACAGAAATGAATTATATTAGGGGGAAATTGCTTTCAACTCTGCAGGGTAGGTAAGGCTATTAAAGAGCAATTTGGCCTATGCATCCCAAGCAGGGATCCAAGGCACTACACCAACCGGCTAAGCCGCATCTGGAATGCTCCCTTCAGGAAGAGGTCTTTACCTCCACGTCTACAATTCAGAACCACTGAGAGAGGATAAGCTCTGAAGGTGGATCTTTTTAAGTATACAACAGATGTGAAAACAGACAAGTGCAAAATAATCTTTCCTCAAACAAACACAGAATGACAGGTGTTGGGCACCTATCCCACAAGTGTGGGATTTGTAATGTCTCACTGTTTTGGTTTAATTCACACCTCCAGCCTGTTAATATTTCCTTGCAAACAACACTTGGGAAACGGAGGATTGGAATGACGCCATTCCTACCTGGAAGGAAAGAAAGGCAATGGATACAGAAGCAGAGCAGTTAAGATCAGCACGCAAAACAAGGTGCTAATTCTGTTCTGGGCTCAGCAGCTCTTCCCTGCTGACCTCACTTGAGGAGGGGAAAAACGGATTTCTAAAAGAGAGGAAACTCAGAGCACTGGCAACCTGTTAAACTGACAAGTGTGAAAGACTGGTTTCCAATTTTCCTGGCACTAGGAGGCAATTCCCCCTACGCCTACAATGCACGTAATATATGCACCTCTGCCTTCCCATACTTGGACCCCTGTGGTTGCTTGAAGGAAAAAAACACTTGTATGAAAAAAAGCTAAACCACAAACTGGAAAACGTAACCCAATGTTGCAGTTCTAATCATGCTTACTTAAGTAACCTCCATCCAGACTGATGGGACTTGCTTCAGAGAAAACTCGTTCAGAAGCTGAAAGGGGTCACAACAGACTCTGCCACCCACCAGGGGCCCTGGAGGCTGCAACCCCTACTTCCCAAGGAAGACCATATCAGCAAGGGGGAGGCCAGCCTGGCCCTCATTTGTGTGGCCATTTTTGCATCACCCCAAGACAAAAAGAGGGCACAGATTTGCATCACCCCATGAACTTCTCCCCCTGTTGCCCCCCAACATTTCATGCCTTTTCAGATTTTAGCCTGCCATTTTTTGGTAATATGGAAATAATTACTGTCACTCTACAATCAGAGTCGGTTTTAGCGTAGCAAGGCCAGTTCCCCTGCACTGGGCACTGAGCAGAAAAGGAACCTGATAAGCACTTGCCTGGCTATGGGAAAGAGGCATAAGGGCTTAGACAGGGTCCTAGAGTCCTCCATCCTCCTTCCCAAAGTCTAGTTATTGCTTGCCCAGCTATGGGAAGGAGGTGGGAGGGCTCTAGGACCCTGCCCTTCCCAAAGCCCAGGATGACATGAGGGCTGGGTGAGGTGTGAAATTTTGGCCAAGCTCAGAGCACCATAGTAGCAGAGTATGCCCCTGCTATAATCTACCTACAATCCTTTTAATTGAGGAGCCCTCCCAAGGCTACCATTTTCAGAGCAGCTTAACAACCAATCCCTCTTCTCAGGGGACTCTGGGAATTGTATTTCTGAGAGGGAAATAAGATATCTCCCCTAACAACCACCAGCACTGTTAACAAACTACAATCCCAGAATTCTTGGGGGAAAGCCAGGACTGTTTAAATTGGTAACATGGCACTTTAAATGTTTGGTGTGTCTCTGGCCCTAGTTTTTTCTTGCATCCTCCTTCTCTCTGAGTTTTACAAAGGAAACTTTGTACTGAAGAGGACAAGGAAGCCAACAGCCAGTACCATCTCCTAGACCTGTTGCCAGTGGCGTAGCGTGGGGGGTGCAGGGGGGCCCCGGCCGCACCGGGCGCAACATCGGGGGGCGCTCGCACTCGCAGCTCTCTGCCCCTACCTGGCTCACTCAGGGTTAGGGGGCGCAAATTACTTGCCTTGCCCCGGGTGCTGACAACCCACGCTACGCCACTGCCTGTTGCAAAGCAGTAGGCAGGGGAGGGGGCATGCTGGCTGACTGCAGATTGAACTTGGTGGGACAAAGCCCCCTTTGCCCAAATCATGGACCTGACTGGAAAAAAAAGAAACCAAAACTAACAGATTTGCTTGCCCTGAATTGCAATATTTTTTAAAATCCTGCTTCTGTACTGCTCTGTGTGCCACCTTGAGAGAACAGAGTATCTATGTGGGACCAAAAAAATAAAAAAAAATCCCCACTAATGATTTAAGGTGATTGTTCAATTATGGAAACAAGCAGAGTACTGCAATAAAATAAAAATAAATCCCAAACCACAAAATGGAATATTTCCTCCAACAAATATCACTCAGAATGTGATGGAGTCATTGCTTAGTCATCTGTTCGTCACCATAGCCAGTGTGAAATTATCCTGGGTTAAGAGTGACACGGGAAAGGGCAGAGGCAGCTGTGCAGCCTCATCTTAGTTCCTTCCTTCTCCTTTGAGTTGTGCAACATTAATGAGCCTTGAAGGGCTGCACCCACAGCCCTGCCTCTGCACTTATTGATGATGCTAATTTGTAGCATCAGCTCCCATCTACAATGCTCAGAACTCCTGTATGAAGTGAATGGAGTTCTGGAATCACAAAGCAGGCCCCAAATAGACTTGGCAGAATGTTGGAGTATAGCCAAGCACCTCTCTTGGTTTATCAAAGAGATTATTCATCAGCTACAAACCTGGAGAGCTCTGCATCTTGATTTCCACCCCAAAACATGGACATCGGGGGGGGGGGGGGAATCAAAGCATGGAAGATTAAACACCCACTTCCCCAACCACCCAAAAATAACACATCCAGGCAAAAAACTGTCTGCACTATTACATGAGAATCAGCATCACCAACCCCATCAAAAATAGATCAGCTTACCTTGTCTAATATCTTACCAGGGGGTATCCTAAAGCAGAACCTTCCTGCTGAATTGCTAATTCCAGGAATATAAGAAGCAGACTATACCAGGTCAGAAAAAGTGTCCACATAGTCTAGTACTGTTCTCTCTCATGCAGAGACATGCATTTCCCAGCAAACTTTCCAAACTGAACCTGGGACGTTCTGCATGCAAAGCAATGCACCTTTCCCCTCCTGAACCTCTTGGGAAATTAGGCAGGGAAATTAGGAAACCTCCAGGAACATGTCCAAGACTAAGGAGAGATGGAAGACTAATACTTCCTTCCTTCTGTCTCAGACTCCAGGGCTGTGGGCATGAGTTGGTCTCTCCTGGCTTGCCAGCAAGACAGACCAATAGAAGTTTCTCAAGGCAGGAAGACCTCTGTCTTCCTTGCTAAAATGTTTTTCGTCTTCTCAGAAGTAATTTGATGCAGGCAGTGAGTCATGACAATGGCTTGTCATTGCCAGCAACTGCAGTACTTTCACTGTAGAGCAAACTACTCCTACCTGTGGACAATTTTAACAGAAGCAACTGCATCAATCGTGACATGTTGCACTTAAAAGCCACACGCTGGCAGAGCACTTCCACAAAGCATGTCAAAAACCTGCCTAGACAATGAATGGAGTATGGATGATTGGGGAGAGAAATTTGTTTCAGTTCA